TTTTTTTTTTTTTTTTCACTTTCACTCAAGATTTATCATTCATCAAATAAATCAGTCAATCAATAATATCCATTGCATCTAGCAGCTTCACCATTTTTGTTGTCCTAAACTCATGCTTTGAATTGAATTTCTCAGTGTGTTACAGTGTATGTGTAGACTTTCCAATTCACTATTCACAATATAGCACTACCTCTCATAACTTATTACTTAATGAATCTGTCCTAATCTGTGACAAATGCAGATGTTTCAGAACCATTCATTGTGCCAAATGTCAAAAAAATCAGTTAATCTGTATTTTCTAAAAAACGATACTAGTTCGAAATAAAACCATCTCTTGATTTCCAAGCATACATGTAAATATAACAGTGAAACATACCATTCATGAATGCCTCTTTTCATTACTCATGAAAAAACATGCGGCCTTTTCATTGAGGCAGTAATTGGAGCATTTTTAAGAGCCTCTTCCAGAACAACATATGAGAGCTTATAACCCTTTAGAAAGCCAGTAAATGCTTTTCCTGGGAATAAACAGCCAATCACAGGCTTTTGTGATGTGGCACATTAATGTTTGCTATGCTCCACACGTTCCCTTCATCCCCTTCACTATTAGTTTCCCAACCTAAAATCCACTCTAAATGTAATCCCTTCTTACATTATTCTCTAGGCCGCATTTAGCCCCTGAGAGGTGATAGTTGCCCCCTAGCCTCTGAAGCCCCCCTCACAGAGCAGAGGCACATAAAGGCCATAATCAGTCGACTGCATCCAAGGGACGCGGAAGATAACGGGACATCCTCCTCTTTTTAGGGAGTGGTAGGGGTATGGGCATATAGAGAAATAGAGGAGAGGTGGAGTGAGCGCTGCGGAGAGAGAAAGAGAGAGAAGAGAGAGCATGATAGAGTGATGACTCATGCCAGAAACTCAAAACTGCTGTCGGCAGAAAGAGCTTTCTGTCAGAGTTTGTCAAGGACATTGACTGAGCTTCTCAGTGACATCACAGAAATGTGACCAATATAATTTCATCAGCTTATAGGCAGTGCGTACAGAGCATCACTTTGGCCTACTATGAAGGATTCAGGGCATTATGTTCTTACGTGCCCACTTTATGCACTAAATTGCTTTGTTACCTTGATAACATGATAGCAACAAAATCATGTTTGTGGTTGTTAAAAGAGTCTTGTAGGTATAAGCTTTTTGTGAAAAAGAAGTACACTTAGGCATGCTCTTAAAAAGAGTTAATATTATGGAAATATAATTTAAAAGTATATAGTTAAATGTAATGTTTTTTAGACACGTAATTGCATGTTAATTGCAAATCAATGAAAATGTATTATAGTTTAAATGAGTATTAAATGCAATTTGCTAGCTAGTGTTTTTGACCCATCCATCAAAAACACTATAAAAACACCATCAAGTATCCATCTTTATATCTAATTTCATAATTAATTCTATTGTCTTTGAAATATGGTTAAACTGTTGAATGTAATGGCAAGCAATTATGCTAAACTAAAATATAATATCATTTCTATTGAAACTTGTATGTCTTGTATTTAAATATATTTGTAATTACACATTTGTAACGATGTAGTTGTGATTTATTAAAATATATTGTTTTAAACATTTATGTAAAATTACAAATTTGTAATGATATATTTGCAGTTTAGTATGTTTAACGTATATGAATTTATATAGAAATCTACGGTGGCCGAGAAGTGCAAAACAAATCACAATTCTGAAAACAAAATAACAAATTACAAGCGCAAATGCAAGTCTAAAAAACAAAATAACAAGTCAGAAAACACAACGACAAATCAGACAAACCGGAAGAGGTAGGTATAGTTTGAGACAGCGCCATTGGTTTGGGATTACTCACCGCTGACTGGACGAGACATCTGTCAATCAACGTATACAGGAAGAACCAGCCGAAGAACAGCAGAGTCGTGGTAGAAAGTTCGGAGATGGTATTGAAGTAGCTCAGTTTAAATGTATTGTATGAATTGCCCTTACTATGGAATAAAAAATACGGAGTGTATATTTACACTTACTGCAAATAGCCCGCCTTGTTGGCAGAGGCTATGTACAGTAATTCCGCCCTGCTTGATAGTAGAAATCCTGCTATTTTAACATAGTGTAAATAGGTATTTGCACTTAGTGTAAATAGCATATTGCTAAAAATACTGCTATTTTCACTTAGTGTAAATAGAATCCATTGCTAATACGAGATTTGAAAAGGGAGGAAAAAAAAGTTTGGCAAAAGGCGGGATCGAACCCAGGTCGATCGCGTCAAAAAGCAAGGGCACGCACTTATCCATCTGTGCCACTGGAGCTGATGGTTTACAGCCACTTTTAACAAAATGTAAATAGACACCCCGTATTTTTTTATTCCATAGTA